AGTAAAACTGTTTCATCTGAGCATGTGGCACTTTAAGCATTATCATATCGCATATCGAATATCGCATTATTTAATGAGTTATCACATATTGCATTTTTCTTCAATATCGCACAGCCCTACTTTACTTCCTTTAATACTTGCCTTTAACAAATTATGCATGTTAGAATCTATAGTCAAATCAAATTAGGCTGCTATTTTGTCTCTCTTACATCATCTGTTATGAAAGTGAGGCGACATATCACTTATATCAGCATGCTTATTCAAGATTAAATATAAAACAAACAAGATTAAATGTAAAACAAACTGACAAGTGCAACAGAAAAAACCCCTGAAAAGTGTCTAGTCTGGGGATTGAAAATCAACCCGTTTTTACTTCCTGCAGCGATGCTAAGTATTATTTTGCTTATTCATATAATTATAAATTAAGTTTAACAGTCTCGAGCAAAGCCAGAAACATCTCCAAAATACTAATTAAAATGTTAAATATACAGAAAATGTTAACTATAGACAATAATGGTTATTTTAGGTCTTATCCCAACATAAGCTCAGATCAATCAGTTCAGAAAAAGAAATATAAAATCTGTCCTAATCGAAAGAAAACATGTTGATAAAAATATTTAATCCAATATTTGGCACTAATATAGCATAATAAAAGATTTATAAGCAATTTTTTGTAAACCAGTCATTTTTGACTGGGAAGTGTAACAAAGTGTAACAAAAATGTATTTCTTTTTATTGTTATACCCTGTGTGAGCAAAGTCAGTAAGTTTTAGTCCAAAGCGATAACATTAACTAGCATTTCCGGAAAAAGAAAATCCTCCCCGGATCACAACATGAGGGTTAAATGTTTTAAAATCGTTTTTCATGGTTAAGCGAACATTAAAAGAACATTTGATTTTATAATTTTGCAAACATTTTAGGAGCGTTACTTTTCAATGTTCTCTGAACATTCTGAAACATGTAGCAAAAATTTAAAAATGTCCAATGAACGTCCAACTAAAACATTTCCGGGAAAACATTTCATGAACGATGTATAAATAATGTTTTTGTGCTAATGTTTTAAGAACATTATTAAAGAGAAGATAACAAACATTCTATTAATGTTACTGAAAGAACATTTGATCATAACTTTGAAAGAACCTTGCCAGAACGTTAGTCAAAGTTCTGAGAACGTCCCCTGTTCGCTGGGATGTTGTTATGCTTCTCTGTGAACATGTAATCTGGAAAGAACAGATCACAAAATTATAGGACAGATTTCTTTATTTTACTTAAGACCACAGCACATGTGAGTCAGTAAATCCAAAAAGTATCCAGCTTGTGCAGGAAGAAACCTGCTATCAAAATACAAGGATGTCACATGCCCATTAAGACAAAGGTGAGGGCCTAAACTAGTCAAGCAAAATCCACTTGAATAGACAGAAGCATGTTTGTCTATTTAACGACATGTTCTCTACATCAAATCAAACAAAGTTTAAATGTGATTACGCAAGATTAAAATAAATCAAGAGTGGGACTATAATGAACACTGCTGATACTTGTCAGATTCTGCTTTTGTGTTCAAGCCCTTGATTGTTCAACACAGGCGAAGCTTTGCTGGAATTGTGGGATTGTTTGGGGAGGAATAAAGAGTGATTTGGTCTTTGGCAAGTAGTGATATAACAAGTCTTAAAACAAAAACCCAGAGTCACACAGGCTGATCAGCTCAAAACAGATGCAGCAGTGTTGTGAGAGCTCAAACCAATGACATAGCTTTCCATTGTGATATGGAATACAATCCTGAAATATGTACAGGATGTCCCACCATTGTCTCCACTACAAAACTGTATACATACAACATGGCAGTCCGCCATATCGCCATTTTTAACAAATAAATCCATGTCTGATCATCTACACAAACACATTTAGTATAGTATCAGATAACAGTTCATGTTATTGATGTACATGACTGAATCTCACAAAAACATGCAGTCACATTTCACTACAAAATCAAACGGAATATAGGTATATATATATATATATATATATATACACATACATACACACACACACACACACACACACACACACACACACGTTAATGTTTTTAAATTCTCACGACTATTTCTTTTTATTTATTTTAACAATTATACACAATGTGAATAAGACATTTTGAATAATGGTCATGAGGGAGGAGGTGCTTAATTGTCATGATTCAAATAATGTTTCATTGATGATTAATGCTGCAGTAAGGCTTCATTATCTTTTTTGCAAAACGTAACATTTCGTTTTAATGTAGGTTGAAATATGACAGCTCTTGACAGGTTTTGAGATTCACACAAATTAAGGTATGAATACATCAGTCAAAGTTCAAGTTGCAATGTACATGAGCAAAAGATAAGCTGACCTTGTTTATGACTTACTGAAGAAAGTTACCCTACCCTGAAGCGTTACCAAATCATTGATAACATAAAAATTTAACTCCCTGCTGAAGCCTTAGCTGGTTTAAGATGGTCCCCCATCTGACCAAGTGAAAAGTGCTCAAAACCCCCTATAAAACCTGCCAGAGTAACTAATATTAGTGAGTGTGGAAATAATGAGAGATGCCAGCATATGGTGCACATTCACAGATTCTCATGACAGATATTTAGGGGAAAGGGCTTTAGAAATGAGGTGACAGATCACTCACCTGTGGTCGAACAGTTCTCTGGTACTACTGAGAAACTCTTTATCTTTATTCCTTTTTTTGGACCTCCAGGTCGGGAAACGTTTCTTCTTCTTCACGCTGGGGCTGGTGGGCAGCGAGTCCGGGTATGAAGTGACATCTGTAGGGCTCGACGGTAAAGTCATAACCGAACCTCTGAAACTCGCTCGGTCGTCTTCTGGTGAAGTGCCCCACTGACCCTCAGTCCTGTCAGCATCCCTGGTTTCCTTATCGAAACTCTTTGACTTCCCAAACAGTTTCTTCAATTTGGACTTTGGTATGCTCATGATTTAGTATTTACGACATATACAAAGGTGAAGTATCCCTTTAGTCTTACTAAAGTGTCAAAACAGAAAGTTTGAAACGCGCACGCTTTGTTTGGCGCGCGGTGTTATTCACGCGCTCCTGAAGCGCACGGGAGAGCGTTGGGCGGAGCGCACAGCTTTGAACTTCACTTGTACTTTTCCCTTGTCTTTATGTTAGAACAAAAGCTCGTCTGAGCTGTAAAATCTCACAAGAGGAAATTAAAATAATAATAATATACTGAAACTGGAATATATAGACATCTAGTTTGTTCTTAATTTTCTATTGTCAATTTACACAGTGCTCGTTTAATTAAAACAAATCTCCAGTGCGCGAATTTGCAGAGGCGCAACTACTGTAATTTCCTTTGAATGGAAAAGGGTTATAGCGCCCCCTGGTGGCCAAGCGTCTTAATAATTTCAATGAAATATGAAACTCACAACTAGTAAAAATTAAAATGGTCATAATACAATCACAGTGAAGTTAATTTTAAAGAGATGTTCTAGATGTTTATCTTCAAAAAACGTTCCTGTAACCTTTTACAGTACGGTTTCATTTGTTAACAGTAGTTAACAAACTAACAATGAATGATAGTTCTATTTAATTTCTTAATCTTAATGTTCATTTCAACATTGACTGATACATTTTTACAAATCAAAATGTATTAGCATTAGTTAATACACTGTGAACTAGCTCGAACAATTGTATTTTTAATAACTAACTTGAATAAATACAAAAGAATAAATAGTATATAAAAAATATAATGCTCATTGTTAGTTCATGCATTTATGTATTAACCAATGTTCACAAATGAATTTGTTGTAAAGTGTTACCAATGTTCTAAACAAAACCTGTTTTCTTAGGAATATGTTTAAATAGGAAAACATTTGACAGGTTTTTCCCTATCTTCAATTTCACTTTCCATTCTCTTTTGTAATATCTTTTTAACTTACAAAAGTCAGTTTCTAAATTACATTATTCAAGAAGTGACCATTTTTTTATGGAAAAACAAAAACACAGAATTAGCAGTGAATTTGGTGAATTCGGTGATGTGGTATTAATTGATTTGTCTCACTTTAAAACACTAAACCGGTTTTATAAAATGACAGAAACCAGCATATTATCACAATGATAGTTAAAAGCTGACCTCCGTAACTCTCAATCCCTCATTAAGCAATGGCTAAATACATACTGCGTGCGTGGTTATTCTTAACATTCAAGAGAAGGACTGACTCAGACGTAACAGGAAGAAACAAAGAAGTGGGAGTCTTGCCCTTCAAAGACAGAAATCTCTGACTGTCATATGTATGAAAGTGACAATCCACTAATTAGTATGGAATGGATATTTTATACTAAAATAATTCATACTCCAAATTTGTCATAGCTGCCAGCAGTTTATTTAATCAGAGTGCGATGGCATATGGCAAACATGCAGTGTTTTTATAGTTAAAGGGGTCATATGATGCGATTTCAAGTTTTCCTTTCTCTTTGGAGTGTTACAAGCTGTTCGTGAATAGATAAAATCCCTAAAGTTGCAAAGACTAAAGTCTCAAATCCAAAGAGATATTCTTTATCAAAGTTAAGACTCTGCCACGCCCCCCTAAAACGGCTCGTTCTAAGGAGGGGGCTTTGTAGAAAACGAAGCGTTTGAGAGAGGCGGGGCATAGAGGACCTACAATAATGTACAGTATTTGAAAAATAATGTGTTTTTTAACATTAAAGCACGTCAGCATATTCTGTTACACCAAATACACCAAATAATGATCTTTAAAAAAGCATCATATGACCCCTTTAATGTCAAACCTGTTCCTTGCACGCACATACACAGGTCCAATCAGAAATCTACAAAGAGCAACACTTTAACATTCAGTTTCTCAAAAAGAGATAAGGTGAATAGTATGGAGGGAGCATCTCTCAAAAAAACAACAAAACACATGGCACATTGCTGATTCCTTTAAATGCACAAAGCTGAAAAACAGATTTTAAAAAAAGTGGCCCTGGTTAAACTTTCTAATAGTGTGCCAACGATCTCCTGGTCTGAACTGAATCACGGATTAAAAAAAACAAAACTCAACCATCCACTCCATTAATGGATCGGCATAAACAGAGGAGAGGAAAAAGAAAACAAGTCCCTCTGCAACACAATCTTCCTGTTTTTTTGTTCCCACAGGGCAGCAACTCACTCATTTCCAACAGCAGAGAGATGTGCCTCAATTCACTCACTTTGTCTCTTTTTAATGTCCTTTAATTTCTTTGTACTTCTATGTTCTATTTGAGTTTTAATTCAATGCTTAACGTTTTCTTTTTTGCTACCTTGAGAAAATGTATAAGGCCAGAGGAGTCATTACAAGTCAGTGTCATTCTTCTACATTCAGTTTATGAATGTATACAACTTGCACATTCATTTCTGAAAACCAAAAACAATATTTATAATTCTCCATCACAAAAAGAATTGGAAAAAAACATATGGCAACATATAACTTTCATTAATATCTTTTTCCAAATCAGAAACTACAAGCTTGCATTCAACGCTGTATCAACATAAAATGCAGTATTTTACTCAGAGCCTTTAATCAAACATGGTAGACTATCTTGGTAAGGCTATGAAGCCATTTTTCTGTCTATACAGGCATCCTTCTTTCGATAGCACATCTTAAAAACAATTCAGCTTCTTTAAATGAGATGCTCTTTATCTATTTAAACCATTTATTTTAAAAAAAAAGAAAGAAAGAGAAAATCCAATTTTGCTACTATTCAAATTGTTAAGGACACTTCATGTGATGTGCAGGTGATGCAGTTCTACCTCTAGAGCTACACAAGATTCCCTTCATGCGTTTCATGCCGTGGAATGCAGTTATGATGGTGCAGCACTCTTTATGTTAAATAATGAATCTAGAGTGAATAAGGCAGATCTATAGAATATCTTCATGTATCTATAGTTTCTTTTAAAGAGGTCTTTCCTTCATCAAAAGGCCACAGGTGCTGCAAATTTACATGGTATGTAAGGTGCCTTTTTTGCAAACAACTGATGACTAATGTGTATGATATGAACTTCATATTTAAGTGTCAGCCTTCTGATATCAACGCAAGTCAATATACACTTCATTTCAAACTTCGATAAAGGGTCTTTTGAGACTTCGTGTGTTCAGAGTGCTCCACTGCTCTCTAAAACTCTGAAAATAAACACTGGAGCTTTCAACACTGTTCAAATGCGTTTAGATAGAAACAAAACCAAAAAATGTTTCATAACTGTTGGCTTTGCAAGCTTAGAAAAAGCATCTTTTTCATATTTTAAATTCATAATAAAACAAAAGGCTGGTGAACCCACTCTTATTGCTACATAGTGTGGGTGAGAGGAATAGATATGCGTGAGTCACATGCTCACACACTATTAGCCATCGATACACTGACAGTATCCGGCACTTCCTGCTTTAACACTTAAACTAAGACAAAATGAAAACAAAAAAAAGTGACAACAGCCTCTCGGCCACACTGAAAATGATTGATATGTCCTAAAGAGCTGTAACGGGGGAAGGAGAAATCATGCATTGAGTCCATAGCTTGTTTTTTTCTTTCTCATGTGATAATAAACAGTCCCAGCGCAGGGAGCGGAGTGGAGAAGATTTTGAGCCATTATTTGACAAGCCGCTTTGCTACGTCAGCGTAGGCGATCTCAATCTCCTTGTCGCTGGGACATGTGTTGGTGAACTCCTCACGCTTGTAGGCATTGTTCAGGTACCTCCAGATGCCCGTCAGGTCTTTAGGGATCTCAAAGCCTCTGTACTTCTTTGCCACCACCTGCAAGCCAAAAGGGGGGAAAAAAATTCATTGGAAAATCTTCCTGCTCAGTTCATCATGAAATACTGCACATCATAATCATATTAAAAGATAATTTGAAGTCCAAAATAATACTATAAAATTATCTCCAATCTGCAGCATACAGTAGGATGACCTGAATGGCTTGTTACCTTAACGATGTGGAGTTTGGGCAGCAGGTTGCAGTCAGTCAGTGTCATCTCTTCACCATCTAGGAACCTGCGTGTGGAGGCCTTTACTTCCTCCATGCTGTTGTGGTCGATCTCATCCGGCAGAGGAGAGCACAGGTACTCATCCAACTTCTGCAAGGTCTTCAGCAGTCCCCTCTCCAAACCTATATGTCAAAACCCATTAAAGAGTTAGGTAGAAAAAAACTTGCATTGTGTTAATGCCAAAGATGCTGTTTTCACACTTGTTTTGTTTGTGGTTCACAATTTTATTTTTATTATTATTATTTATGTGAACACTCCAAAAGAAATCTTAAAGCACAAATAATCCAGATTAACTTTTTTTGGATAGAAAAATAGAAATATTTCCATTAATAAAATAATAATAATAATCAAAGTTGTTCTTCATGTAACTTTCCTTGCAGACAGTCAGCCACTTTAAAGCTGCTTTTTTTTTTTTTTTAAGTCAGTGTGTTTTTACAAATCACAAACAATATACTACTTAATCGGAAAGACACAACAATAATTCACAATAAATTAACCAATTCACTTCATTTACTGACAGAGCATCGATTTAAAATTGTGAAAAATTTAAATCAAGTTTAATAAATAAAATTACAACCGTACTGTCAAGCTGCACGAAGAAGTTAAAAAATTACTAGAAGAATTTCTTCATCTTGAAGTGCTTTGTCAAAGTGGGCAAATTATAAAATAATATCTTTGTACAATATATTATTATACAATAATTATAAAATATATAATTATCAAATAATTTATAATGTACAAAATTCAAAGGAATAACTGATTACAGTTAAAAAGAATATAATCTGCCCTCTAGAGGGAGAAAGTGTCAAAATATAATTGCAGTGTTTGGTTGCACTTCTACTTAGCTGCCACATAAGGGCATAATCACACTCCGTTGAAAGCAGATCCTTACAATTCACCAATTTAGCTCTAAACTTTCAAAAAGAAAAAGGGAAAAGGAACACTCAGGTGTGCAAACTAAAATGCTAAGGCATGTTTTTCTCTCCGTGAGAGGTGGTATAGCCTAGCCATTTCTCCAGTACAGCGCTGTCTGCTAGCCTTGAGACAATGTTGACTCAGACTCTAGCTGGAATGAAGGGGCTGTTATCACCCACAGTCAACATTTTACTAGGGTGGAGACTCTTGAAGTTAGTTTATGTTCAGGGTCACTGCCAAACTCTTATTGAACTGAGGAGTCTTTGAGATTGTGCGGCATTGCATCAAGGCAAATTCCTAGCGTATTTATCATTTTGACAACAGTTCAACACCAACACCTTCTGATAAAAGTATAGGCGCTCCTATTTCGAAAATGTAGGTAACAGTGTTTACTCTGGAAGTTGATCTAACTATCAAATTGTAGCCCTGCCTAAAGCACTAAAGCATGTAAATGAGACACTGGATCCAAGCCCTGCGTTAAACTAGAGACAACACTATTTACATGCACAATGTGAGACATAACCATAACCAGGTCTATCAAATTAGAGCAATAGAAAGTGTTTGTACAGTTAAACTGAGCTTATCAAACATGTGATTATTCCACTGAACAATATACATTTGGCCTTTTGTATGGAGGTGAAAGAGTGAAATCTTTCTGGTTACCCTCGTTGGCATCAGGTTTGGAATTCTTGATGAAGGCAGAGAACTTGGCAAATATATCCATCCCTGCAGAGTTGGATTCTGGGTGTCTGGCACTAAGTTTAGAGTACCTGAGTGTACAAACACACACATACGTCAAATAAAACCTTTTGACGTGGTGTTGACAGACATGTGACACTTAAATACACAAACACACTCTTTCACTAACTTTGGAGGGCAGAGGACATCCTCTAGGAACTCTTCGATCTTGTTGACATCGGTCTTGACCTCTCCATTAAAGGTGATGAAGGGAGGGTGGGTTCCTGGGGCCAGATTCTGCAGATCAGCTGGTTTTCTATAATTATAAAATTTATATAAATAAATAAGAGTCTACTTCTCTAAATGATGAAATGATCGATTTTCAATGAGACCCTTCAGCTGATCTCAGCAAAAATTTGAAGTCTAATAACTGCAGAAATGTTTTATTACTGAGCTATAACAGGAGGTCAGCATGGCAGAGCCCAAAGCAATTTAATGAATTGTTTTTCTTTAGAATACAAGGTGATAAGATGCCCTCAGGGGCTGCACACTGTAGCACAACACAGGGGTTTTCCAGAGCACTCACAGCCCAACACACACACACACACACACACACGCGCACACACACACACATTTAGATTTTTTATAAAACCAGTAGGGTAAATACTAACCCTACCCCTAAAAGATTCTTCTACATTAATAATTTTTCCCAACTGAAGATGTTCCTGGATATCCACAAAGGGAGACTATGAAATCTGAAAACACTTGAGGGTTCAGGAACAGAGGGGGCATATTTCCCAGAGGCCTTGCAGTCAGGAACACTCTGATCTTTCCAACTACAACAACAGGAAATGACCTCACACCTCTGGCATGAGCACAAGGAGCACCCTATCCCTTTTGGTTGCAAAAAGGAAAGGGTAAGAGAAAGGAGAAAGTAACAGGCAGGAAAGCAAGCAAGCAAGAAAAAGCAAGAAAGCAAACAAGAAAGAAAGAAAGCAAGCAAACCAGAAAGAAAGCAAGAAAAAGAAAGAAAGCAAGAAAGCAAGCAAGAAAGAAAAAATGGATGACTCAGTAGTCACTCAAGTTTCACTTGATTTCATTTTAGGGTCATAAACTTTGAGCTCATCAATGTCTCTGGTACAGCCTCATAAAACACTGATAAGATCATATGTGGATACAGGTGTGGTGTCTCTTCAAATAATAAATTAATCTCTCTCTCACACACACACACACACATCATAGATTGATGTGAATTTGTAACACTCCAAAGAGAAAGGAAAAACTGAAATCGCATCATATGACCCCTTTAAATATTTGAGCATATACTGTGTCAGTCAGATTAAAAAAAAAAAACAAGATCAAAAGAAAGGAATCTTGCAATATTCTTTGACTGTAAAACTTGGTTAACAGTCTATTTAACCTCATTTAAAGAAGTATTTAGGATTCACACACGCAGCATAGTGGATACTATATAATAGCAGGTTAAAGTCATAGCTAATATTAGATGCCTTAACCTCATTTTCAGAAGTTCAAAATATTACCACAGATCATCAGTGGCTCACACCTGGGCACAAAATATATCACTGCTGCCTCACTGCCACACTAGTGTCTTAAATTCCTCAGTGAAATACTTAAACATGCTCACACACACCATCACAGACAACTGCGAATGCCTAAGACTGATAATGAAAATGAATATCTGAGATGACTGAAAATGAGATTCACTAATACACACACACACGCACTTATGCACACATTACTTTGCTATCTAAAAGGGGACACAAAATTTATTTATATTTTATATATGGTTTTTCCAAACAAAGACAATGTTGCATGTCCCCATGGAAGGTTTTATCAGATTTAAGTCACTTTTGGGGAATTTTCTGCCCACAAACTATAACCAAGAACATTCACACACCTCTTAAGGTCCACAGTGGTGACATTGAAGACCACACCCTTCAGCCACAGGATCATGAAGAGACGCTGAGAAAATGGACAGTTGCCGATACTCTCTCCATCACTGCCCGCCTGAAAGAGAAAGAAAAATATGTTCGTCTGACTTGAGGAATCAGTAAAACTGTCTTCATTGAAATATGTTGCTCCACATCAGCTGCTAGAATAGCAGCAAACATTTTGCAATCACAGGGTCATTATCGTACAACTCTGTACCATCACTGGGAGAGTCCGTATCAGATTATAGCCAGAGAAAACAACTAAACCACATCAAGAAAGATAACTGTTAAAGAATCAGCTCCACGTTACTGAGATTTATTTGACAGGGAAGACTAACGTGTCAAATTAAGCCCATTTCAAAACACAAAACCAACATTAAGAGCAGATGGCAAGCTGATCCCTGACTTAAAAACATGTCGGCCATTTCCAGTTTCCATAAATCTGTCATAACCCTCTGGGCAGTGAAAGCTACAAAAGTGTACACTAACACTGTGTTCTTTTAAATTGCCCCTATTATGCCATTTCCAATATTGCCTTTCATGCAGTGTTTAATGCAGCTGTATGTGAATGTAAACGATCTGCAAAGTTATAAAGCCGAAAGTGCATGATAAATAAAGTTATTGTCTCCCAAAATAAAGAATCGACACTGTACAGCCTAAACGAGTCGTTAGTAATTGGAATCCCACTTCCATGATGGCTACACGTCATGGGGTAACACATTTGCATAATTCCCGCCCATGTTCAACGTTGGCCGGCCGCAAACAACTTGACCCTGCCCACAAACACGTCGTTTTACTGACGACCGTTTGTCTAATCTCGGGGAGTTCAGCGCGGGTTTCACAAAACGCTTGCTCTTGAAAGATGGCTCAGTACCCAGTTTATTTGGACCAGCTAGCTCCACTGAATCACAACCTGTAATATGATAAATAATAGATGTTTATATTTTCTATCGAGCGTTCAAAATACGGAATTATGGCAATGGGCGTTTCCGACACGCACTGTACGTGGTACACCAATCACAACAGACTGGGCCATCTGACCAATCACAGCAATGTAGGCTCACGGAAAGGAAGGTTTTAGAGAGACTGAATCTTAGAACTGCTTTGAATGAATCGTTTGAGAATCGCTGGAAATTTACGTGATATTAAATGCATATTTTGAGAAAACGAAAGCGTTTTTTGCATGCAATCCTTTTGTAGGAGACTCCCAAAACAATATTATGAACCTTAAAAATTGCATAATAGGGGCAATTTAATGCTGAAGAAAAAAAGTACATAAAACCTGACTATATACACATCTATGTACAGAGCATACATTTATTCAGTTAGTGAAACTGTACAACAGTGGAGTACTGTGATAAAGAGAATGGAATTTGGCTAGTTGTGTGATTTTATGTGAGCCTGTCCTATCATGCATTTATTTATTTTTTAATTAGGGAATTGGCGGAGTGCCCCTTTAAAACATTCAAAGCATGTTTGTATTGTTAATGAATTCTTTAGCAATGTAAACACATTTATAATGCCAGTAAATCTTTCTGAAGCGCTAGGATAGCAAGTGTATGTGTGAAAATTTTTTGAAAGACATGAATTCCACAGTTGAGATATCACCATCCTCCTCCACCGCATCTCTCGGCTAAATACCAACCTCAGTGTGAACTCCAACACACAACAGACCATCTCTCCATTAGCCCTCCACTAATCTCCAGAAACAAGATGCTTATGACTCAGAGAATAGACATATTCCTGTGTGCTTCAGCAATTTAGATTCAGCTAATTAAGCAATGAGCTGACAGTGAGCCTGACCTGACCTGATAACTGAAACCGGTGTTCTGTACCAAAACCTATTGAGCTGCCCCATAGGGAGCATTTTAAGGAACTCTTGATACAAAAATAGACATAGACTCTCTTTATGCTACCTTCTAAAATAGCTTGTTTTGGCCAAACTACCATCACATACACTACCATTTAAAGGGGTCATATGATATTGCTAAAAAGAACATTATTTTGTGTATTTGGTGTAATGAAATGTGTTTATGCGGTTTAAGGTTCAAAAAACACATTATTGTTTCTCCTCTATGCCCCGCCTTTCTGAAACGCGTCGATTTTTTACAAAGTTCATCGGTCTGAAAAGCGAGGTGTGCTCTGATTGGCCAGCTATCCAGTGCATTGTGATTTGCCAAATACCTCAAGCGTCTGACGGAAATGTTACACCCCTTACCATATTGTGATGCTGTGTTCCGGAGCGACGAGACAAAAACATTAAAACTCAATATAAACGAGGCATTGTTGCATCCAGTGGGGACATAATTACGGATTATAATGAATTGTACTGTCTTTTTATGTGTTGCGTTGCATCGCGTCGCGTAAACATAAAACCATGTCTGCATTTGCCAAACAAAGTATTTTCGCTTTTGCAACGAAACACACAGCGTCTCCACGACATGGCAGCGGCGGTGGTGGCAGCAACAATAAATTTACGCCTTATTTCTTTGCGTGAACATTTGGGCGGTGTTATGCAAATCTTTCCACACAGTGATGTAGACATGTGGGGGCGTGTCTAAACAAGGCATTTTAGGAGGGCGTGGACCAGTCTTAACTTTTATAAAGAGTATCTATTGTTCTAGAAGGATGCCATCATGCCATACCTTTTACACATTTACTCGAATTGTTATGCTGATAATGATAATACAATTTGTAAGGAAAACTGCATTAAATAGCGAAGTATTTCAGGGGAAGCTTTTTCAAAGGAAAACACACCCACACACGCATGTCTCTTTGCTGAGCCGCGGCGGTCTCGGTGAATCAGCCAAAAGGGTCTGGCTGCAGACGCTTGCACTCTCAGACTTGCACTCTCAGACACTTGCACTTTCGCTAGCGACGTCACTTGCAGTCTTTATTTTTTTTATTTTGTTATATTTATTTATTCTTTTTTTTTAAATCTCTCAACATTTTACAACAGTAGCCAGGTGGTGAAGACAAGACAAAAGAAACTAAATTATGAAGTCACTTGCAATCGCCACTTGCACTCTCCGATACCTGCGACGTCACTTGCAATCGACACAAATCGTGCGTGTTGCCAATGGAGACAAGAAGCTGTGGTGGTGATTAAATACTTAAAACTAATTTTGTACCGTAACGTACAGGGTCCTGCAAGCCATCTGTAGGAGAAAAAGACAAGACCCGCAAATCCGTGGCCACAGAACAGCAGAATATGAACGCAATGCACAAAGTCTCTCGTTAAGCGTTTTCCTCCTGTAGAAAAACATAAACACTTAATATGGCTTAATGTATTAAGATGCTATTAAAATATCAAATTCAATATACAGTTTATTAATATAATGAATATGTATATAGTATTTTCCTCCCACACCGCAAAACGTGGCATAATGGACTAAGATGATAAAGACCAAACTCAATGCTCTTCATTATTAAAATATAGCCTACATAACTAATATACAGGCAAGCAGGTGAGCTCAGAATAAACGCAACACGCAAAGTTTTTTCCATATAGAATAAACGGTCTACAGCTCTTTTATATCATTGTCTTTGTCCATTAAGCTACATTACGTGTTGTATTTATAATGATTTTCTATGGGAGGAAAAATTTTAACGTGCAATTTAATGCATTGCGTTCTGGGCTCGTCTGCTTGCCTGTACGGAGTTGATCCTTTTAAAATCACTTAATGCATTTCATAATGCACGTTCATATTTGCTGTTCTGTATATACTTTGAGTCAACAACAAGACATATAGGCTACTGAATTGTCATCCGTTATTATGCCAAATTATGCCACCACCACAGCTTCTTGTCTCCATTGGCAACACGCACGATTTGTGTCGATTGCAAGTGACGTCGCAGGTATCGGAGAGTGCAAGTGGCGATTGCAAGTGACTTCATAATTTAGTTTCTTTTGTCTAGTCTTCACCACCTGGCTATTGTTGTAAAATGTTGAGAGATTAAAAAAAAAAGTAATCAATAAATAGAACAAAATAAAAAATAAAAAAGACTGCAAGTGACTTCGCTAGCGGAAGCGCAAGTGTCTGAGAGTGCAAGTCTGAGAGTGCAAGCGCAAGGCTGCAGCCAGACCCTTCTCGAATCAGCAGCATCCACAACTGAATGAACAAAAAGTGTTGAACTTGAAAATTGTTTATGCGCGAGTGCACTTGCTAAATGAAGGCGGATTATACAAAATGGATAAAAAAAAAATTTAAATAATAAAAAAAAAAACGTTCGACGAGGCAGCGCAGATCGCGCGTCTCATAAGTGAGTGGGAATTTACCAAACGTGGCACTTGTGTGAGTTAACACTGTATGCAATACCTGCAACCTCACACCAAATTTCAGGCCGTGTAGATAGGCAAACATATATACAAATCATTTAGTAAGCAGAAATCCGAAATTTACCTTAACATATCAAGTTAGAGGAAGATGCGACTGAATTGATGCTTGAAGAATAAAATAAGCATGTAACGACCACAAACGGAGGAAAATAGCGGAGTAAAAGTACCGATACATCACTTAAAATGTACTCAAGTAAAAGTACACAATTTTTAAACTACTCAAAAAAGTACAATTACTGATAAAAACTACTTAATTACTGTAACGTGAGTATTTGTAATTCGTTACTTCACACCCCTGGGTTTGAGACTTTAGTCTTTGCAACTTTAGGGATCTTATCTATTCACGAACAGCTTGTAACACTCCAAAGAGAAAGGAAAACTTGAAATCGCATCATATGACCCCTTTAAAAGTTTTGGGATTAGTAAGATGCTCACCAAGGCTACTTTTTCATCAAAAATTCAGTAATGTCATAAAATATTATCACAATTCCTTTTTTTCAGACATCGATGAATAAACATTTTTACAAGAACAGCATTTATTTGAGAATAAAACAAAACAAAACATATAGGCTATATTCATACTTAAGAGAATTGCATTATTCTTCTCTATGATGCCTATATTAAAATCATCTGAGTCAAGCTTCCTGTGCATTTCATGTAAAGCGTTACAAAATCTCGAATGAAAACTCCTGAAGCAGCTTCCTATTTAGGCAGTAGGCACAGAGGCAGGTTTTGGA